CCCCAAAACCCCAAAACCCCAAAACCCCAAAACCCCAAAACCCCGTCTAAAAGGATTAGGTTGAAATATTAGAATTCATATTACATATCAAGTCTAATTACTTGTGTGGGAGGCACCCTCAGTTCGTGGTTAACCCCTGCATGTAAGTATTGATTCAGAAGAGTCTTCAGCTCCTCATTTTGAGTATTTAGCAAGGCAGTGTCTTCAATGAGATTCTTCCTATTGACAAGAATTTGATAATATTTAGAAAAAGCAGAGTCAAGAGCTTTCCAGACGCTTAGTTTTCTTTCATCAAGGATAGTAGTCATTTTCTGCCAGATGTAATTCTCAGCTTTATGATCAAGCTCTTTCTTCTGCTCCTCATTTTTGAATGTTGGCCTCTTCTTATTCCTAGGATTTGCAGTGAGCATAGCATTGCTAAGATATTCTTCCTTCTTCAATTGGAATTGTCTAAGGACATCAAGAATCTCATCTCCTTCAATATCTAGTTCTTCTTCATCTTCGTTTGCTTCTATTGGAATTTCTTCCTCATTAGATTTCTCTTCCTCACCTTCATTGAGGGGTTCAAACTTTTTGTTCTGAGAGAATTCATAAAAAGAGTTGACAAGCATGTAAAGAGTTATCTTCTCTGTGATATCCAGAGATTTTCTGACAGCATCTAGCCTCTTTTTAAAAGCCTTCTTTGGCTCCAGGGATTCTCATTCTATCTCTACCTTGTCTTCAATGAGATAAGGCATTTCTTCTATCAACATCAGGAAGACCTTCTTAATTTTGGATATAGGAATCTTTTCTTCCTCAGTCTTGTCAACACCTGTAAGATGGGACTGAGTCTCTCCAATATCAACCTTAGATTGCCCATGAGACTCTACAACAGAAGCATTCTGATTTATCTGTGATACATTTGCCTTCATATCAGGATTATTGAAAGCAGGATCAGTCGGAGCCTTCCATTCGATCCCAAGTTGTTGTTCATGGATGACTCTATCAGCCTTAGAGATCTTATTGACTAGTGTATAGACCTCGTTCTGATTCATGAACCAGATTTCTTCAAATCTTCTCTCATCATTTTTCTTAAACCTCCTGAATTTCTTCTGCAGCTCTTTAAATTGAAGGGTGATTCTTTTATAAGAATTGGTGAGCTCAATATTCTTGTTTTTCAGCTTAGTGTTCTCCTTCTTGTAATCCTTCTCAAGCTTCCTCTTTCTGTTTTTAAGCTTATTAAGTCTCTTATTCATATTGGTCTTGTTGGTTTTGTTATGATCCTCTCTTTCTTTAAGAACGCGGAGGTTGAAATCAAGCTTTTCTTCATTGAGTTTATATACAGCCTTCATGTCCTCCATACACTTCTGTAAAGTCTGGAGTTCATTTTCAAGTTTGATCTTACTTTCTTGCTGATCATTAGCTTCACTCGAGCGTAAGCTTTCTAGTTCTTCACCATATTTTGCCTCATCTTTTGTTCTTCTATCTAGGAATTTCTCTTCAGTCTTTTGGTGTTTTTCGAAAAGTCGATGAATTTCCTCATTATTTTGATTTAAGATTTCCTCTCTTTCCTTTTTATAGGCTGCTTCGATTTCATTCAGCTGAGTGTTGTACTCGTCCCTTATGGTATTGAATTGCCTTCTCATTGTCTCGATAAGCTTATCAATGTTTAACGATTGGGTCTCAAGAGATTTGTGGTATTCAGCATCCTTGCTCTTTAAAGTATCTTGAAATTGCCTGATAAGCTTCTCTTTAGTTTGAATAATAGACTGACACTTGGCTTTTTGCATTTCGATCTCTTGGGCAAGCTCTTCACAGTCTTCTTTCTCTTCAAGTTCTTCCCAGGTAAAATCAATTTGGATGTTCTTTTGGTAACTATTGTGAACTTCAGTTTGGATATCATCATATCTTTGATCTTTCTCTTTATTTTCTTTAATTCTTCTGTCATTTTCAGCTTCATCAGTGTCGAGTCTGATTTTGGTGATTTCTTCCATAAATCTTTTCTTGTTTCTCTCAATAGTTCCTCGACTGTCAGCCACCTGATTCTGACCCCTTGGCTCTATTGGTGGTGGCACAAATTCTTCCTCTACCAATTTGCTCATTTTATTCAAAATTCCCAAAATTTTCAAATTTAAAACAAAACTACGGGGTTTTGGGGTTTTGGGGTTTTGGGGTTTTGGGGTTTTGGGGTTTTGGG